ACAATAATGGGACAATCTTATTTGAAATGGTATATGTGATTAAATATTAAACACTGCATAACCAAAAAGTCCTACTCATGAGTAACTTTTATCCCAAATGTTTATCTTTTCATCGGTAGAGTTGTATTATTACAAGAATCTCAGAGAAATATATATAGCTCAGTGAAATCACAGGTTGCTTTCAAAATACCTATCTTTTTTTTTTTTTCTCAAGGCTGACATTTTAAACAGCAATGACAGATGCAATGTTCTCTCTCGCACAAGTACAGAGTAATTCATTAACATACATATGAAAGGAAGAAGTCTACATTCAACCTTTATCACCAAGTCCTTGAGAAATGAAAGAAATTCAAAGCAGCTACAAGTGTAGCTTGTAAAAAGTCAACTGGTTTTATCATTCAAGAACACCAGGTTGGTAGCAGGAGCTTTCGGTAAATAGACTCCTGCTGAATTTGCTTTAGGGTTGAGGTTGGGGGGAAAGAAGGAAGAGCTTAAAATAAAATCTATCTGAGAATTTGGAATGACAGGATCTTATGTAGAAGAACTGAAGAGGGCTGCTTTGTAATCAAATAATTCAAAACATACCTTTAATAAGTCTTATTTTGGTAACATAGCTGTTAAAGACAGATTTGATTTGGGAGTAAACTTCATAAAAGATAGCTTTGTATACATGGGCCGCATTTCAGCATGGTTTCATGGTGGGATGAATCGGGATGAGGCAAAATGTTATAGGCTGAGTCTAAAATAAACTCTGAGGGTGTTTTTGAATTGCTGAACATTGGGATAAAAGTTACAAACAAAGGCCATCAATTATCTAGAGGTATGTACCTACAGAGTCTTTCCCAGGCACAGGTTAGGCTCTGAAAGGCTGTTCATAGTTCATTTGTTCTGAAGGTCAAGGTGACACTATACAATTGTCTGCCAACCTGTAGGGAGCAGAGTTGTTGATACAATTTTGTTCTGATGTATAGCTTTGTTCTTACTATAGAAATTCCCAGGACTAGGGCTTCTGGACTTAATTTTTCTATCAATAAATAGATCAAATATCTTACATTAAATGTTTAGTGTCTGTCTTACTTTGGGTTTCATAGAAGCAGAGCCTGAGGCAGACATTCAAGTGTGTATAATTTAGTGAGAAATCAGGAGAAAGGGAGGGAGGGAAGCAGGAAAGAGCGGGGGAAGGAGCTAAGCAAGATGGGGTTTGCAGTTGTTGTCCAGCTTCAGCCTGATCCCCTGAGGAGTCTGGGGCATAAGTAGTAGAAGAGGTGCATAGGGATGGGCACGTTGTCCATTAACAGGTATCTGGACAGGGTATCAACAGCATCTATCACCAGGATTATTGTGATGCTTACTATCCTGAAGATATGGCTTAATATTTTGACAATTACTATGCCAAGAGCAAATTAAATTTAAAAAGAAGCACACGTGTTTTGTGTGGGCAGTGTCTGGGAAGGACTAACTACTATAACATGAAAGCCATGAGTTTTAGAGTCTCCACTTTTATTTCCAAGTGTTACCTGGTTTTCTAACAATGTACCTTTAAAAAGCCCCAATCTTGTGAGCCTCAAGCTTCTAATCTGTAAAAAAAGGAATAACAATAGTGTTTATCTCACAGGCTCATGAAAGTTAACATATATATATGTCAAAGCACCTAAACATCTTGAAAACAAGGGAAGAAGAAACTAGTCTGGAGAAAGTTTTAAAATGAAAATTAGAAGATCTTTCTATGAGTAACTGTGGCAGTTTGAAATATGTAAATGTTTGGCCAATTTGAGGGAGGTAGTAAAAAATAGCAAGAAGAATGAGAGCTACCATTTCACAAGGGCCAATAAAGGATGGGGACTTTGGAATCATTATCTCCAGTAATCCAGGTCACTGTCCTATGGATAATGCTATAATTCCATTGTTTAAATTTCATAACAGACACTTACTATTGTTTAGAGGTGGCCTGATTTTACCACTAGACATTTGACAGTGATAGAATTTGAATGCAGATCTTTCTGTATCGAAAATCTTAGCATTCAACTACCATTGTGATCCTATGTACCAAAAGTCTTTTCTACCAAAATGGGCATTGTTGGGAATGTATGAAGGTGGTGGTGAGGAATTCAAATTAAATCGAAGATTCAGGTCTTGCACTTTGGGAACTTTCCATTTTGGTTGGAGACTAGCATTCAGACTTTACTTTCTCTGTACAAAGGTACCAGAACAGATACTTAATAAAGAAAACTTACTCTTTTTCTTTTCTTTTAAGAATTATGATGGAGGAGGGGCGCCTGGGTGGCTTAGTCGGTTAAGCGTCCGACTTTCGCTTAGGTCATGATCTCGCGGTTCGTGGGTTTGAGCCCCGCATCGGGCTCTGTGCTGACTGCCAGCTCAGAGCCTGGAGCCTGTTTCAGTCTGTGACTCCCTCTCTCTCTGACCCTCCCCTGCTCACGCTGTCTCTCTCTCTCATAGAAATAAATAAAAAAATAAAAAAAATAAAAAAAAAAAAGAATTATGATGGAGGAAAAAATTCCAATGGAAATTATTACTTCATTCCACTGAATTCTGATGATATATTTTTTAAAAGTGATAAAAAACACATAACATAAAATTTACCATTTTAATTCATTTTCAAGTGCACACAATTTAGTGGAACGGAACACATTCAGATTATGTAATCATTACTACAGTTCACCTCCAGAACTTTTTCATCATCCCAAACTGGAACTCTGTATTAATTAAAGTTAACTCCCAAATCTTCCTTTCACCCAGTCCCTAGCAGTCGCTGCTCTGCCCTGTGTCTCTATGAATCCTCCCTTCTAGTTACCTCAGATATATGAAGTCATGCAATATTTGTCCTACTGCATCTGGCTTATTTCACTTAGCAGGATATTTTCAAGGTTCATCATACATGTTGTATCAGAATTTTATTCCTTTTTTAAAGTTGGATAATATACTATTCTATACATACAAACACATACACACACACACACACACATTCTACATTTTCTTTATCTGTGTATCTGTTGATGGACATTCGGATTGTTTCCACCTTTTAGCTACTGAGAATAAAAACACATGGATATATAAATATCTGTTCGAGTCCTATCTGCCTTTAATTCTTTGACGTATAGACATAGAAGTGGAATTGCTGTGTCATGTGGTAATTTTATTACATTTTTTCATGAACTGCTAGAGTGTCTTCCAGTGGCTCTACCACTTCAGTCCTATCATTAATGCGCAAGTGTTCCAATTCTTCCACACCCTTGCAAACATTTGTTATTTTCTGCTTGTGTGTGTGTGTGTGTGTGTGTGTGTGGAGGGGGCGTGGGTGGGTGTGTTTTAATAATAGCCATCCTAATGGGTATGAAGCAGTATCTTACTATAGTTCTGATTTACATTTGCATAATGTTTAGTGATGTTGAGTGTTTTTCCATCGGAAAACTTATCCTTGCTGAGATATGTCCCTTCTATAATTTTCTCTCATTATTTTTTCTTTCAACATAGCCACCAGCCTTTGTTCGTATTCCACCTGGCTCTGTAAACTTTTGTATTATCTATTTACACATATATAAACACATTCAGATACATTTAACAATGCATGTGTGTACATATATATGTGTGTCTGTGTGTATATGACTACATACATATGTGTGTACATATATACCTATATCATATTATAATGGTGTATATTATAATATAATGCTTATATATTATATATAATGTATATATGACTGAATACACACACACACACACACACACTCAGAAATAAGACCATCCTGAAAATGGCCAACCTAAAAGAAACTGGATATGAAGCAAGGGATCTTTGGAACATAAGACTTGCAATGGGAGATAGACTCAATTATTAATTCATATATCTGTTGATGACTACAGTAGTTCTGCAATGTAGGCTTTGAACATATATTTTATTAATAAAATTTCAAAACAATTACTTTTTTTTTAATATTTTTTATTTATTTCTAGGAGAGAGAGGGAGAGAGAGACAGCGTGAGCAGGGGACAGTCAGAGAGAGAGGGAAACACAGACTCTGAAATAGGCTCCAGGCTCTGAGCTGGCAGTCAGCACAGAGCCCGACGCGGGGCTCGAACCCATGAACCGCGAGATCATGACCTAAGCGAAAGTCGGACCTTTACCGACTAAGCCACCCAGGCGCCCCAAAACAATTACTTTTTTAAAGTAACAGAATGTACCTTTCCATGAGCACCCAAGGGGCTAGGTACTAACTCTTTGGCCCCCTGACATATCCTCTGAGGCAGACATGGGTATAAGTGGGGTGGAGGAGGTGGTATAAAGAAAAAAGATTCAAGGCTTCTATTTCATCCACATTAACAGATATAATTACTTTCAAGCAAGGCTATCCCCGGATCCAATATGAAACATTTCAGTGCCCGGAAACCCTATGTATAAAGGATATAAGAAGCCATATGTCTATTGTTCATCTGCTAATGTCCTCAAATGTCACCAAGGTAATTACTTGGATGACATTTATGTGATGCAGCTGGACATTGTTATAGTTAATATAAAGTCTGCCTTTGGCAACCACTTTATTTCCACCTACATCAAACTGTGGGTGCGTGATCACTATCCCGGGAGAACATTTACCTCCCCCAAAAGACATCTCTGCCCTCAGCTTTTTCTTCCTGTGCTCTGCACACTAATACATAATGAAAAAGAAGAAAAAAAAAAAAAGAAAAAAGGAAAAATAGTCATATGTCATATATCTTTTTCTTAATATTTATATTTGGAACTTTTAAAGACATTTCTCAATATAATTTATAAAACAGATAAACACAGGTATTTTCTTCCTTTTTTTAAAGAGGATTTTGACTATTCCCAGTAGTCTGAATTCATTAAATGCAGACTGTTAAAATTTTTTACTCCATAAATCAATCACCCTCCAAGAACAGATGATTGGCAAAGCAAATTTTTTAATATGAACAAAAATACGGTATTAATAAAAAACACAGGGATTAAATTTCCCCCCACGAACTCACATGCAAATTGGAGTTTTGCCTTCCGACTCAGAATTGTCCCCAGAGTGTTGGTGGCTAGGCACTGGTACATGCCAATATCCTGCTCTGTGCGAGGACTACTGATTGCCAAATTGCCTCCATCCAACCTGTAGTGATAACTCATGGTAAAATCAATATCTGCACCATTTTGCTTCCACCTTCAAGAGAAAAAAATCAGGTTACGTTATAATATACAGAGTTGGCCACTCCTTATGTTAAACAACATGCAGTTGCAGTGCTAAGACCATGTATGTATGTATGTGTTTACACAGTTATTAATTTGCTAGGACCATTTAAATTAACAAGAGGGGGCACTTGAGTGGCTGAATCAGTTAAGCATCTGACTTTGGTTCAGGTCATGATCTCACGGTTCGTGGGTTCGAGCCCCGCATCGGGCTCTGTGCTGACAGCTAGCTCAGAGTCTGGAGCCTGTCTTCAGATTCTGTGTCTCCCTCTCTCTCTGACTCTCCCCTGCTCACACTGTCTCTCTCTCTCTCTCTCTCTCAAAAAATAAATAAAAACATTTAAAAATAAAAAATAAATTAATGACGACAAAAATGGTTACATGTGAAGACAAGCCTTCAGTTTCACCAAATATGACTGTCTTCAGGAGCTCAGTGATATCAATAACTAGGCTATTTGAAAGATCTTCCACTCTTTATGAATCACAAACATTCACCCAGATGTGTACAAAGAGGCAACATAACTCTTGAAATGCGAAATAAAACTAAGACATTCAGTCAATAATACTGGCCATTCTATTCCTTTAGTGACTTTTCAAATAACATATACCATACCTGAACACTCACAACCGACACTGCAAAATTGGACTTTGAAAATGATTTAGAGATAGAAATCTGAGAAGCGTATATTACAAATGGCATAAAGAAAGCCAGTAAAGATTTTACAATGCCAATTTGAGCCTGAACAAAACAATAATAACCCACCTACTTTGGAACACGATTGTCTCTGTGAGTTTCTTACTTGGAAAATTAACCACGCTGAATATATTTCAACAGTACTTAGAACTGCCAAACTAAAATTATTCTTTAATAAAACAAATGCAGTTTGAGGGATTTTTATTTTAGGCAGCAAAAAGTCTCTTGACTTACCTTTTAGTCAACAATTCTTTAGGACATGAATCAAGTAGCAGAAGGGCCTTACATTTATTTTCAAAGAACGATAAGATGTTTTATAAATTCCATTTGGTCATTTTAAGTTGAATAAATACCCAGTAATTATCTCTAATCAAACCCCCTTAACCCATCTTTCACCACCCAACTTCCCTCAAAATATACAGACATCCTGAAGTATAAATGTTGTGCATTTAATGAGATCTATTCTTAGGGCAAAGCAGTGTGTAGTCATAGAAATCATTTAGGAAAAAAGACACTTAAAAATATTGAATTAAGACAATCACTCTTTTAGAAAAACAAATGAATGCCATTTTCTAATGGAATACAGCCAATTTCCAAACCATGTATGTTTAGGATCAATGCCAGCTTTGCTGTTATTTTTCCCTTCATGCTAAGATTATATTACAAATATTTTGATGAGGGTGGCTAACTGTAATAAATAAATTACATTTATAATGTTATTCTAAGTGCACTGACTTTTTTATGAGCATCTGGAAACATCCAATGTAGAGTGTGGTAAATGTCTACTGTAGTATGAAAGAAATATAGATGTAGGTAATCCTCTATCATATTAAATAAGTAATTGACCAAGTATCAAATCAATCAGAGGTTTTCAATAAACTCTTTCACTTTAAAATTATTTAGCCAATTCTTGTGTGCCTCAAGTACTTTTTATTTATTTAATTTTTTAAATGTTTATTTATTTTTGAGAGAGAGAGAGAGACAGAGTGCAAGCAGGGCAGGGGCAGAGAGAGGGAGACACAGACTCCGAAGCAGGCTCCAGGCTCTTAGCCGTCAGTAAAGAGCCTGACGCAGGGCTCAAACTCATGAACCATGAGATCATGACCAAAGCCAGTCAGACGCTTAACCAACTGAGCCACCCGGGTGCCCCTCAAGGTCTTTTTAATAAAAATAAGTTGAAAGACAATAGCCAAAAACAGTATACTATTCTGTCAAAAAAGTTTTTTAAGAAAATATGTACAGTTTTTTGTTCTCCATATTAGAAATAAAAATAGAAACATTTTCTGTCTTTAGGTCATTCTGAAGACTCCAATATTCTCCTTACCAGCTTTATAATACTGTCTTTCAAAATTTGCTTACAGGGCATGATCTTTAGACCTCCATGCTCCATCTCATTTTCGAAGCAAAGGATATACCACACTTAGTTTGCCAGCTCTCTTTAATTTTGGAATCAATCTCTGAAATAACTGCTGTCATCATTACATGCTCCTAATTAAGCTCAGTAATTGTTTTTCAACACAAATATAAAGTTGTTGGCTTAGCTGCAGCAAATGAATTTTTCACAGTATCCCCATAATCATTCTAATCACTATGGTACAATGATTATTATACTGCGCATATAGATCAGGGGTTCAACTCCTGGTGTGGGCTTTGTTCTAATTAATATGTTTAAATCAATGGAGAAATAGTATTAATGAATTCAAGTGATTGACATAAACACATTACTGATAGGTCATACCCAGGAGAATTTTCCTATAATGCAAAATAGGAAATATGCTTTAAATGATTATTTTAAGCAACTGCATTAATATCATATTAATTCCAGGAAACATAATGAATTTGAACTAAAATCTTGACCTTTTTCTGGGGAATATCCTTCACTATTAAGTAGGTAAGCCCTGTATCAAGAATATAACGGCTGGGGGGCTATGTTTGTTGTCCTTAGATAATATATGTATATGTGTGTGTGTTTCAGAACTGGGCCTTGCTTTTGCATTAATTGAATGCTTGTTAAAGTGCTTATTTCTGAACCCATCCCTAGATTTCTGAAGGAGAACTCCAAAATCTAAATTCTTAACAGTCTCTCTGGGCAATGGTATATGCACTAAATTTGATATCACTGACCTTGTGAAAAGAGTCTTAGGCCTAACTCTGACATTCCTTTCCTGCGTATCCCTGGGTGACACATCTAATTTTTCCAGTAGTCATATCCAACAATTATAAAATTTGCACAGTTATATATATCCTGCTTTATCCCATGGGGTTGTTAAGAAGATTAAGTGAGAAAATGAAAAGAATAGAAGGCAGAAGGACTGCTTCTATGATTTTTATTCAAAGACACCTGGTGCCTGGGTGGCTAGGTCAGTTAAGCAGCCGCCTTGGTTCAGGTCATGATCTTGCTGTTCGTGAGGTGAAGCCCTGCATGGGGCTCTGTGCTGACAGTTCCGAGCATGGAGTCTGCTTCAGATTCTGTGTCTCCCCCTCCCCTACTCACACCCTGTCTCTCAAAAATAAATAAACATTTTAAAAAACTAAGAAAAAAGATACCTAGACCTTCTCAGACTTAAGGACATCTTCATAACTAGAGTAGAGTGGATTAAATTTAAAAAAGGAATCTCCTCTGGTGATCAGGTCAAGAGGATCTGCCAGAAATCCTCTATGACATTCAAAGATGTACTTCTGATAGAGTGAATCCTTTTAGAAATCATTTACATAGGTGTTGTTTCATTTTCCCAAATAAAATATATATTCTGAGCTAGAAATAAACTCATTGCTATCCGATTATCTTAGACTTTGATTTAGATGAAAACCTACCCAAGTACCAACTTTATGTAATCCACTTTCCTTCCCTTTGCAAAGCTTCCTGGTTAGATTTTAATTCTCATGTGTTACGTGGCCCTTAAAAAATTTAGAGTGTCCCTTTCCATGAGAAAGTTCAAACTTGCCTAACATTTCTCTATCCTCAGGTTTGCACTGAAACCTTGTTTATGAAGGTTTTTACTGTACTGGATGTGACTGGAAGACAAGTAGCTTTTAAACTGCTTCCAAAGTTATGCTTTATATATTACTTATTTTCTGCTATAAGATTTCTTTTCCTAAAGGGAAGTTACTAAAAGAAGTTACTAAAATTAACCATACCCTCACTTAATGCACAACAAAGTTGATACCAGGAGAGAGAAATGATTATTCCAAAGTCTCACAATGAATATCAGAATTGTGACTAGAAATGATAATTCCTTATTTTAAATGGCGTTTTCATATGGCTTCACGGTATATCCAAATAACATCAAGTGATGTTAGAATCTATATCATAAAGATTTTTCTTCTATATCTCACACACACGCACGCACACACACACATACACACACACACACACACACTCTAAAGTTATGACTGGGTCTTTTTAAATAAAATTTAAGTTAAAATTAGGGTCATATTAAAGCTAAAATTTCATATTTTGTTGCTAATGTGCATTATCTAAAATATCTCTGCCCTTTGCTTTATTATAATGGAAATTGGGTCTGAGTCTGACATTTACACATTAAAAACAAGTTCTTTTTTCACTCTCTTTCCAAAGCCTCTTGCCTATGAGGATTTTATGCCGTGATATTACAGATGAGCTAAACCAGGTTAAGGGGATTTAAAATAATAAGCTAAATTATCTCTCTTTGGCCTACTAATTTACACATATCTTAGAAACAGAAGCCTTTAACAACGGTGAAATTTGTAGTCTCTTCATTCAGAGTATTTCTTCATAGGTAAAAAGTAATGAGTAAATTTTCAGGAGACCACTATCTTATATCCTTCTGCCTGTAATAAGCCAATAGATATTTTTAATTAAGTACAGAACAGATTGATTGATGATTCATCTTACCTATACTTAGCAAAGAGTTCCTTCCCTACCCGCTCTCTTTTTTTTTTTTTTAGTTTTTATTTTAATTCTAGTTAGTTAGCATATAATGTAACATTGGTTTCAGGAGCAAATATTTTTTTAACTATGTTTTTAATGTTTAATTATTTTTGAGAGAAAGAAAGACACAGCACAAGCAGGGGAGGGGCAGAGAGAGAGGGAGACAGAATCCGAAGCAGGCTCCAGGCTCTGAACTGTCAGCACAGAGCCCAAAGCTGGGCTCGAACCCACGAATTCTGAGATCATGCCCTGAGCTGAAGTCAGAGGCTTAACTGATTGAGACACCCAGGCATCCGAGGAACAAATATTTCTTATTTTACAGGAATTCATATATTTTCTTCTCTTCTCTAA